CCTGGCAACCTTGGTTTTTGGCAGATTCTGTCTCGTATTCACAGCATCTTGTTTATTTTCTTTGGATGGATATCACCAACACACATATACTTGTATGAACACAAATTGGACAGGGACAAGAATGGCAGGGGGGCTACTTTTCTTTGAAACAATGAAGAAATAGGCACTTTTGTTATGGGTTGGCACAGCTGGTCTTCTTTGGCTGGGAATTAAAGCTGATACTGCATCTTTGTCTTCTTTTGATTGAAGTTTAGCCACTTGCATAATGTTTTTGGGATGGCATCCCCTTCACTGTCAAGCTTCCCTTGTCTTGTACCTTCCTATTTTTTGCATCTCATCAATTTTTTTACTTGGATTGGCATTTATTATGGCCTTGTTATTGGGGTTCGGCCAGCCCCCTCCATTTGTACTTTCTTTCCTCTTTTTTAATAATAAATTTCTTTTCAATATATATATATATATATATATATATATATATATATATATATATATATATATCAATTTTGTATCAATTTTGTTTGCCCAGAACCAAGTTGTGAGCAATAGGTTGATGGAGGCCATGAGTCTGTCTCGATAAAAGCTTCCATTTTCATATTTGAAAGAGTTGTAATTTTTTCATACAGACCAAGTTATCATTCTTGGAAGGATCATACGGATGTTTCCTTTGATACTGCCCTTGTTGGATGAAAACCACCAGCTTAGTAGGGCTTGGTGGAGGGTGAGATCACATGTGAATAGGGGGGATTAGCTGCATATGCGTAAGATTTCCACACCTCTGCTACCCTTTTACAGTTCACTAAAATGTGGTGCTCATCTGCGTTATCCTCATTGCAAAAGGGACATAGTGCCAGAATGAAGATCTTCATTTTTTGAAGGTGGCATGGAAAAGGCAATAGCTTATTCATTCCTCTCCAAAAAATATACTAATCTTTCCCAATTGCCTCTTGTCCCAAATATAAGAGCAACTGATTTATCTTGGAATGTGAACTAGTGTGGGAAGGTAGGCTTTTTAAAAGATGTAAGCTCCTTTAATCCAAGTTATTTCTTCCTCAATGATTGTGCAATGTGGAAGAATGTTAGGGATCATTTTACATATAGCTTTCCATGTGTAGGAGTCATAAATCTGAGGTCTGTATAGGCCATCCCTAAGGTATTTCTTCTTCATGCCCTTGCTGCATATTGATTGTCCACGAATGATTTTCCACCATAAATCCATGGAGGCTACTTGTTGACAGTTTGTGAGGTTCCTTATTCCAAGTTTACCGTCTTCAAGAGGTAAGCAGATTCTCTCCCATTTGCGCCAGTGATATTTGTACCCATGGTCCTTAACTCCCTAAAACAAATTTTCCATTAATTTGTTAAGGCTCTTAATAATGGACTTAGGGATTTTTTGTGCAACTAGAATATGTAAAGGAATTGAGGAAAGTACATGTTTGATGAGAATGAGTCTTCCCATATGGTTTAGCTTCTTGCTATACCAAGTGTTAATTCTCCTCTCAAACTTATCAATCAGGTCTTTGCAGTGTATTTTCCTCCCTTTACACTGGTGGATCCAACAATTGATTCCCAAGATTCTTTTTATGCTTCTCTTGGTTGGTGATTTCATTTTTTCATGAACAAACACTTGACTCTTGGCATAGTTGATTTCCTGTCCAGATGCCTTCATGAAGGTGGAGAAAGCAGTCCTAAGTTTTATTAGGTTTCTGGAATCTGCATTGGTGAAGATTACAATATCATTAGCATAAAGTAAATGACTTGGAGGGTGGGCTCTACCGAAGGAGAAGGGGCTGAGCAATCCATTAGAAATGCAGTGCTTTAGCAGTGTGGTCAGCCCCTCCATAACCAGAATAAAGAGAAGGGGGATAAAGGATCTCCTTGTTTAACCCCACATTTCATAGGAAAGAAGCTCTTATGTTGACTATTGATCAGTATAGAGAAATAAGTGGACTCTAGATTCCCCATAAGCAGTTTAGTCACATGTTGGGAGAAGCCATATTTCATAAGCAATTCCCTTAGAAATTCCCATGATAGCTTGTCAAAAGCTTTGGATAGGTCAAGCCTTATAATGCAGTTCCCCCCTCTCATATGTGCAGAAAGTAAATGGACTATTTCTTTAACCATTAGGACATGCTCAGTGATGCCTTTTCCTTGTTGAAAAGCAGCTTGTTCTAAGGTGATAAGATTGGGGATGACTAGTGGCGGATCCAGGATTGTGAATAACTGGGGGCAGTATAGCAAAGCGGGGATTCGGGGGCAGAGCCCCCGATTTTTTTTAAAAAATGTACTTTATATCATGATGAAAAAATTAATTTTATATCAAACAAATTTAAAATAAGAAAAACAAAATATTTTAAAATTAGTAAAATTATACTCCATCCGTCCCAATTTAATTTATAGCGCCTGTTTCAGTTTACGATGTTTGACTGAAAATCATGGCCACGCGGTTGACACGGTCCTCTAATCAAATATTTTCTTCTTATTTCATCTCTTTGATTAGAGTGATACTCTAAAATCTTTTTTCTGTCTGAAGGATCCCACGGAAGATCACTTAAATCTATTTCTTTAACTATTGAAGGTACAAATGGTCCAGAATCATGTGTTGTCCGTGTTGAGGGGGACTTCCGTTTAAAAAAACTTCTCCATTATCTAAAAACATAAAATGAAATATATACTTTTTTACTAAATCTATGTCCAAAAATTAGAGAAAATTATTTAAATATTTCAATTCAGAATTAGTATATTTTTAGAGACTAGAGTTATCAATTCATATGTTTTGGGACAATTATAAATTATAATTAATAATAATCAAGAATTCAACATTAGAAACAATTTCATCAAATAGAAAATTGAAATATAAAAACAAATTATTCAAAAGGTTTCACAAATTACACATAAATCTAATTTTCAGATTTACCTAATTATTTAGTTCACAATTTTAAAAAGGAGACAAAATTATTTGGAAATACCTGGTGCCTGGTAGCTGGTGCTCGACTGCTCGGTGTTGCTCGGCGGCGACGCGGCGGACGGGCGACGGCGACACGGCGGACTGTTCAGGCTGTTCGGCAATCAGCAGAATCGGTCTTCAATTGCTCCGCTCCTCTTCTCGATTTCTCCAAAAGCAAAGGGAAGGGGGGAAATTCTTTTTAATTTTTGGGAATTTGGATTGGGCTAATTTTGGATGGGTCTCTAGCCCATTTAATTGTTTTGGGCCAGTGGGGGCAGATTTTTTTTAATTGGGGGCAATTATATATAACATTAAAAATATACATATATATATATATTAAAAAAATTTCACTGGGGGCAGCTGCCCCTATATGCAATGCTGTAGATCCGCCCCTGGGGATGACCATCTTTAGCCTGTCACTCAAGAGTCTTGAGGTGATTTTGCTAAAGAAAGTAGAGAGTAATATGGGTTTGAATTTTTCCAAGGTAATAGTACAAACGAAGCACTATAGGTGTTCGAATTAGAGTTGTTGTCATATTATGAAACCAACAATTATTGTCAAAAGAATCAACGTGATAAAATTAATATAGTACGTAGTAGTATATATGTTTGACTTAACATTTTTGGGATGAGAAATTACATCATCCCACTCCTCACTATCAAACCGACTATATAGATGGTTCCAATTTAGTTTTTTTGTGTTATTTTTATTTGGATATATTTATTGTTTGGTGTGCAATTTTTTTGAAAAAATTCGTGGAGGGCTCGATACATACTCACTCGGCATAAGACCTGATCAAAGTGCGGGCCAGGCCAGGTTTCGGGTCGGGCCGAGACACTACATTACGAGAATTTTCTATGCTAAATTCCGACCCGGCCCGTATAGTGGGCCTAACAATTGAAGCCCAATCCTGGCCCGTAAAGATATTTGCGGGCTTCGCGCCGGCCTGGTCCGCCTAACAAAAGCTTCTAATAATTTTAAAAAAAATTTTTATAAAAAAAAATAATAAGTTAATATATTAGATATTTGATATAATAACTATAATGAGTAAATGAAAAAAAATTTAATGTATAAAATGTTTTTTTTTGTATTGATACTATGTACGGAGTACGAAGTATTATTTATTGGAATACTATAATCAATGTGTGATACGTTGCAAACAATACGAAGTAATAAAGTTATATCATATATTCATTTTATTATAAATATTTATAATTAATTTTTTTCTCCATAGAAGTATGTATGTGTGTGTAAAATAATTTGAAATAGTTTTGTTCCTTATTATCATTATTAATGTTGTTATTAATTATTAATGTTGTTATTGTTATTTTATTATAATTATACTAATCATATACGGAGTATATTTTAATTTATTTGGACCGAGCAAAGCTGTGGGCTTGAGGATAAAAATCAAACCCATACTCTAAAATATCAAGTCCAAGCCCGCTATTTTGTTGCCGGGCTTTTTGTGGGCAGGTCGGATACCTGGGCCCGTGATCGAGTCGAATTGTGCTTCTTACACCAACCCACCTAGACTATGGCCCAATCCGTAATGTATGCATTTCCCTCTTCATAATATAGCTGAAAATGGTACTCCGTAATATAAGAGCAACTCCATACGGTATCGGGTAGCCCAGTTCACACAGCCCAAACCCAACTAGAATGACGGACGGAGCATTACTGCATGAAAAATGCTAGGGGTACACCGTGTACCCCATATGTCCCCCATCCCCTCCTTGTCCACTAAAAAGGCAAAAAAATTAAAAAAAAAAATAAGTAAATAAAAATTAAATAAAAATATGTGGTGGAGAAGGGGGTGATGTACATTTGGTGTACACTGGTGTACATTATTCATTTAAGTTTTGGACACGAACACTGTTCGCCTAGACGATCAGTGTTTTTGTACAGACAATCTGTTTGCGGGCCCCCCTGATACATTTTTTATCCAAGTCAGTCTCAGTGTGGGAAAACGCTCATCTGTGGGGGCCAGACTCCAGTCCACGAGCCGGCCACTCATGACAGAAGGGAATTGAGGGTCTACTTCATCTGCATTCTCTCTGAAACAACAATAATTGCAGATATAAGGAAAGCTGCTTTTAATGAGCTTCCGGTAAAACACAAATCCCATTATTACGGCGGATCAATCACAGCAGATTTCTAAAAACTTTCCTTTTTTGATTTGGTTTCTCCCACTTTCATTTCTAAGGTACTGCTTCGTTTTCTTCTTCTTCATCATCAAATATCACTTCTCTAGTTTTGCAATTACTGAAATAAGTCTGGAATTACTCGGCAGAGCTAGAGCTGGCGTTTTGTATGAAAGGGTTGTGATGAAAGACTGTTCTTGATTCAATTGGATGTAGCTTAAAGATTTGATTTTGTTTGAAGGGTTTGTTTATTTATGGGCTGAGAGATGAGAATTCTGCTGGGATTTGTGATTTTCAGCTGTTTTTTGTGTTTTCTTGAAGAGTTTATGTTATTGCAGTTGTAAAAGGTTCATAGGCTCTGAAGAGGTTTGACAATCTATCACAGAGCTGTTTGCAGTTAGCTTTCCTTGATGAGCTTTGGAAAATGGCCTCATATGGTGCTTCAATAACTGGAAGTTAGTGTGGAAAAATGGAAGGAGTAGATTCTTCAGAAATGGCTAGGAGTCTGTTGTATGCAGCTGTAATTCTTACGTGCTTTTGCTCTTTGGTTTCACCCGATGTTCAAGGTTTGCCCTGGCTATTTTGACTTCTTTTTTTCTGTGATCAGTTAAGAAGTCGGTTTCAATTAATTAGCAAAAGGCCACAAGTTTTGCCGGAGAATTGCAAGTTATGGTCCATGTTTGTTACTGATGAAGTATTTTTCAGTGGAATTTTGAGTCTTAAGTCGATAGTCTAGAAGTGTAGAGTTGTTAGTTTGGAGTATAAAGTTTAATGAATAATAACATGTACATCTTATTCGATGCATATTGTATTAAAAGAGGTTGGATACATTGAGATATTTAGAGTTTGGAGTCAGAGTATAACTCCATTAGTAAAGGGCCGTAGCATATGAATTGTTTTTCGTGATTTTTCGTGAGTAATTCCAGACATATAACACTCTACAGCTTGCAAAAAGAAATCAAGTCAATTCTAGATTTTTCGTGAGAAACCAGTGTTATGAATTGTTTCTTTGCATTCTCAATTTGCAGTATTAGTTGTATTTATTGTGAGTGGATTATCAAGTTATTCTGTGAGATGAATAATGATTCTTAAAAGAAGACTGTGATTCACATATAGCTCTTTTACAATGTTTGTTCCGTTTATTTATTTTAGGAGATGCCTTGTTTGCATTGAAGCAGTCACTGAATGCATCTAATAGTCAGCTTCAAGATTGGAATATTAATCAAGTTAATCCATGCACTTGGTCCAAAATCTCATGTGATGATAGTTCCAATGTCGTCATGGTGTAAGCGTCAATGTTTGTTTATGGTCAAACCCATGCTAACTTGATAGTGTTTTCCATCTTACAATGTTTACTGACCGACATGCTACTGATATATTTGTCATGGTGGTGGTTTGTAGGTCATTGTCTAATATGGGATTTTCAGGCAATTTATCTCCAAAAATCGGAGTTTTGAAGAAGCTCAACACACTGTATGTGCTTGGAACAAAGAGTGTTTGATTGACTAATAGTGATATTTTGTTTATTTGTGCACTTTTTGTTCATCTACGCAATATTTGTGATTGTTAGAGTATATAACAATCATTCCTGGGCCACAACCACAAGCTTGAGCTTTTGGTTGAGTTGGTTCCTTGATTTAGAAGAGTTGGTAGCGCCTGAGGTCCTACAAATGGTATCGGAGCCTTGATGACCAAGAGGTCACGAGTTCGAAACTCACCGCCATCCAGTTTAAAAAAATTAAGGTTTCACGTGCAAGGCTCAAAGAGGTCACGCCTGCACGTGAGGGGGCGTGTTAGAGTATATAACAATCATTCCTGGGCCACCACAAGCTTGAGCTTTTGGTTGAGTTGGTTCCTTGACAGTGATGTTAATTACTTAAAAAATAGTTGTGCCATTTGCTACCGTGGGCTTAGATATATACTCCTCTACTCCATGGGGTAGAGGTAATGTCTTCTTAGTTACATCTGATGCTTCCCTAGATCCTACTTCTGAGTGGAACATGCATGTTTTATTTTGCTTCGTTCTGTTTTTCTTAGTTTCTAGTGGATCTCATATATATATCATTTAGATCACTGCAAGGAAATTTCATAACTGGTAAGATTCCTGAAGAAGTTGGAAATTTGACAAGCTTGACTATGTTGGACCTGGAAAACAACCAACTATATGGAGAAATACCAGCTTCCCTTGGTAGCCTCAAGAACCTCCAGTTCTTGTAAGCCATACTAGCACATCCTTTAAGCTTTCACATGCAATGTCGACATTTGTTTTGTATGATCGCACAACTATATTTGTGGAAGCAGGTTCTTGAATCAAAACAATCTCTCCGGGACAATCCCTCAATCACTTTCAAGCCTTCATAGCTTGTATAACTTGTGAGTTACCAATCTTGTTAGACATACACATACTATCGCAATAGGGAAATATTTGTTGCATTCCTACCACTTACGAATCTGATGTTTTTTTTACTAACAAACCTATACTGGGATTTTCTCTCTCCCTTGACTCTCTTGAGATGTTCTTACAGGCAGCTCGATTCGAATGGTCTTACTGGTGAAATACCTGAAAGTTTATTTGAGGTCCCCAAATACAAGTATGCCAACCTCTAATATTGTTTGGAGCTGTTAAATATTCCCTACATCTGGATTTAACTGTCCATCTTTCCTTCTTCAAACATCCAAGTTAGTTATCCAGTTAGGGTATTTGGAGAAATAATATTTCATGAGTTGCTAACATACCTTTGATGTATAGCAAACCCATGCAATAAATATTACATCCATCTCCCTTGGTGCTGTCAAGGACATGTATGATGGGCCGATGGCCAGGGTGTGGTCGTTAGGAGGTGACTATTACCACTTCCCGGTGGAAGTGGGGCTACCTTAGGGGTCTGCCCTTAGCCTGTTCGTGTTTGCTTTGGTGATGGATTCAAGGGGAGGTTCCTACATGCATGTTGGTGATGCTTACATTGTTCCAATTAACGAGGCATGTGAGGGACTCAATGATATGTTGGATGTGAAGAGAAAAACCTTTGAATCCAAAGGTTTTAGGTTGAGCATGAATCGGATTTAGTACGTGAAATGTTGCTTTAGTGATTGCACCGAGTTGTAGGCAGTTGTGGAAGTGAGAATTGATTCGCATCGTATAGATGTACCTAACTTTGTAGTTTTTGCGTATGGGTTCTTATTTTGTTCGTGATATTTTCCTTTGTGATATGCTATTATGTTTTGAGTCGGCGTCCCTTTGAAACTGCCTCTCTACTTTCTTAGTAGGGGTAAGGTCTACGTACGCACACCCTCCTTACACCCCACTCTGTGGGACTTAAGTGGGTATGTTGTTGGTATTGTATATGAAATAACAAACATACGTGGATAGTTTTGTCATAAAGCATTTTGGAAAGTGAACATTCAAACTCAGATGGAGGGAATAATAAGAATCTGCTCGGCAACATGAATTTAGCCTCTAATATTTGTATTTATGATTTTCAGATTGTATATAAAAAAATTCTTTGTTCTAGCTTTACAGGCAACCGTCTGAATTGTGGCCTCAATTTCAGCCATCTTTGTGAATCTGGTAGAGGTAAATGGAACTTTACTGCATTTATTTCCCAGATAAAGAGCTCTACTGGTCCGTAGTAATAATGTTTTCTGTGATTCTTCTGGAGGGAACTATACGTTGAAATCAAGGGAACTAGTATACACACATATATTTTCGGACTTTTCTCTCATGAACTAGCTCTATGTTGGCAGCTCCTTCAGGCAAATCAAAGACTGGAATGGTTGTTGGCATTGTTGTTGGATTTCTTTGTATTGTAATCGCGGGAGGCTTACTGCTATGTTTCTTGAGAGGCCGACATAAAGGCTACATGCGCGAGGTCTATGTAGATGTTCCAGGTTTGTGTCAGTTCTACCTACTTCATTGAATTATGGCATAACATTGATTTTTTTTAATGGCGATTTCTTCTCCGTTCTTGATTTGAGGAATGCCAGAGTCAAATTTCGTTCCTGATTATTGTGGGTTTGTAACTTTGTTTGTCCAGGAGAAGTTGACCGGCGGATAGAATTTGGTCAGTTGAAAAGGTTTTTATGGACAGAGTTGCAAATTGCTACAGAGAACTTCAGTGAAAAGAACGTGCTGGGACAGGGAGGTTTTGGGAAAGTTTACAAAGGAGTACTCCCTGATAACACAAAGATTGCCGTTAAACGGTTAACAGACTATGAGAGTCCCGGTGGAGATGCTGCGTTCCACCGTGAAGTTGAGATGATAAGTGTGGCTGTTCACCGGAATCTCTTAAGGCTCATTGGGTTTTGCACCACACCAACAGAGCGACTTCTCGTATACCCCTTCATGCAAAACTTGAGTGTTGCCTATCGATTACGAGGTACTTTTATTTAAAACTATTTATTTCTCTTTAATTATTTAGATATATATATATATATATATATATATATATATATATATATATATATATATATATATATATATATACGATTGACCCGTGGATGCAATTTCAGAACGCAAACCTGGGGAGGCTGTTCTAGATTGGCCTACGAGAAAGCGTGTTGCATTGGGCACGGCGCGTGGACTTGAGTACTTGCATGAACATTGTAACCCTAAAATCATCCACCGTGATGTTAAGGCTGCAAATGTATTGTTGGATGAATACTTCGAAGCTGTTGTGGGCGATTTTGGCCTGGCAAAGCTGGTGGATGTTAGAAGGACGAATGTGACAACTCAAGTTCGCGGAACGATGGGACACATAGCCCCTGAGTATTTGTCTACCGGAAAATCATCAGAGAAAACCGATGTTTTTGGCTACGGAATCATGCTTCTTGAGCTTGTAACAGGTCAACGCGCGATCGATTTCTCTCGCCTTGAAGAAGAAGATGATGTGTTATTGCTTGATCATGTAAGTTTGCATCCATTCTTTTTATTAAGACCCTAGGCTTTGTAATAAAATCTCAGACTTCTACATGGGTATCATATTCAAAACTTATGAACTAAAAAAAACTAGTCGTATTCGAGCAAGTGACAGCTTGATGTAAAAGCACCAAATTGAACTTATTCTTATTGGAAGGGGTCAGATAAAACCAGATTGGATCAGAAACAACTTTAAATATAACTACAATGAGATTAGACCAAACCAAATATGATCAAATCGGACCTTTCAGATCCAATTAGATGAGACGAAGAGAACAAGCTCTAAAAGGACTGGTATGAAGTAGAACAATGTTAAAACCCCACCACGGGTGTCCCCATGAATGACAGTCACAAATGATTTTATACATACACAAACGATGAATGTCAATCATCTTAAAGGTCATCCATGGGGCAACCGTGGTGGGTTCCTAGCATAGTCATATTCCTATGGAGTATATATAAGAATGAGGGTCCGTTTGGTATACGGAATTGACGGAATTGGAATTGAATTGTAATTGAAATTCCATGGGATTCAATTCCATAGAATTGAATTCTGCCAATTCTTATTCATATTTTGCACTATCAATTCCAAATCCACATAATTTTTGTGCTACCAAACACCAGAATTGGAATTGATGTCCTCAACTCCAATTCCATAGTTTGAATTCCGTGTATAAAACGGGGAGGCCTGAGTTACACCTTTTCCACACTATGCTTTTTGTTCTACTAATGGTTGCTAAAGTGCATAGATACATTATATATCATCATCATTATTGAAGGTGAAGAAGCTGCAAAGAGAGAAGAGGCTACACGCCATTGTAGACGGCAACCTGAACAAGAACTACAACATAGAGGAAGTGGAGATGATGATTCAGGTGGCTCTGCTGTGCACGCAGGCATCGCCCGAAGAGCGCCCCGCAATGTCGGTGGTAGTGAGGATGTTGGAAGGGGAGGGTCTCGCCGAGAGGTGGGAGGAGTGGCAGCACGTCGAGGTCACCCGCAGGCAAGAGTACGAGCGGCTGCAGAGACGGTTTGATTGGGGGGAGGACTCGATCTATAACCAGGACGCGATTGAGCTGTCTGGGGGAAGATGAAAGAAGTCTCAGTCAGTTGAAGGTGTTTTGTGAAGTTAGAGTTAGGGTATTTTCATGTCAGTTGGCTGAACACTTAGCCACATTTGTTTTTTCCTCTAATTCTTGTATTGATCTTTTTAGACAAGTAATATATCCTGTTCATAAACTCTGTCTAATGACCGCACAGATGTAGTAATTCTTGTTACCTGAACAGAAAGTATAGGTCTACATTTGCTGCCTCACACTAATATGAGGGACAATTGGTTGTTTGTTCTTCAAAGGTTCAAAAGGTTTACTGTATGTACCCCTCTCTCCCCAAAAAATTGTCTTTTTTCGAATAATGTGTAAAATACTATCTCTTTTAAATTGAGTTTATTTGCAAATTGGCAAGGAAATAACAACAACAACAACCCAGTTAAATCCCACAAGAGTAGGGTCTGGGGAGAGTGTGTGGACGCAGACCTTGCCCATACTCGAAAGTAGAGAGGCTGTTTCCAAAGAGACCCCCAGCTCAACGTCGAAAGTTGCATTACTTGACTAACTGCTACTTCATTAATTAAAGAAGCGTAGACAGTTTAGAGATCCATTTTGATTTATTCCATCACACCCCAAAGCCAAAAAAAAATTTTGGCAAGGAAATAAAAATTAGAAATTACATATTTAGATATTACATCAAAAGTTTTACAAAGTGATTGGTGGCAGGAATATTTTATTTTGTCATATAAAACATGAAAATGCATACCTAAACCAATGTTCTTGGAAGTCTAAAGTACTAATTAGTCTAATTTTTGGGGCGGGAGTAGTTCATTAATTCTCACAATGAAGTTCGAGCTCACTATTGAGGTTACATTTTATATACATTTTTTTTGTCTATTTTCATTACTATTTTGATAAAATAACATAGTTATGCCACGTTTTATTTAGTTACTTATGAAACTTTTATATATTGATTAGAGTAAATACCATAAATGGTTCATAACTACAGGTAAAGTCTGAGGCCGAAATGGCAAGGCAAAGTCTTCGTCGATCTTTGGAAAATTTTAAGCCGTTCACCGAAATGGCATCAACTCAACAATCCTGTGGCCGGATCGTCAAAGAAAAGATCCTCCATCGAGGTTGAGGCCGATGAGACTATCGGCACTTCGGAACAAAGGCCTGCCTTCAACCTAGACGACTCCGACGATGAGGACCCCATTCCACGACTAATTGGAAGGAAGAAGGCAAAATTCATTGCCTCGGGTTCTAGAGGGTCCGACTCTATTTCTTCTCACGACGATATTGGTCAGGTAATGGTTGAACAACTTCGTCTGTTCAATGTTAGGGAAGAAGAGAGGGAGAAACGGACATTGATACGTTAACGGGCTTCAAACACATGCTTTTTGAGAGAAGACAAAAAAAGATCAAGGCCAAATATAATTTGTCTTAGTTTTTTTTATTTAATGTTATTTTATTGAATGTAATTTTATAATTTATTGAATTATTATCATTTAAATTTAATTAAAATGAAATTTTATTTAATTTAATTTTAGAAGATATGTATTAAAAATGTAAAAAATAAAGGTTTGAAGCCCTATTTTGAAGCCTCAGTGCTTCAAATCTATTTCCAGTGAAACTACGAGATAAGTTAAAACTGATATGACAGAGAAAGAAATTTTGAAGCTTAGAGCTTCACGAGTATTACAAGTGCTCTTAGTGGATATGGGGCCACTCCAAGACCCCCTTTTTCATATATGGTGGCATGGTGCCAGGAACATGTCAGGTAAAGTTTACTTTATGCTCTTTTTTTTCCATTTGATTCTTTACACTTGCTATTTTTATCATCTCATTAAATTTTTTTACACTTCTGAATTTTGCATTACTAAAGTTATAAAGTCTATTTTATATGGACTATGGAGTACTTCTTTGCTGATGTCACATTTCTAATATCCACCTCTATTCCAACTATCTTTAATACTCGATATTAATCATACAATAGGTGCATACATAGAAAATTAACAACATTCTTGTATTTGCTTAAAAATTTGTAATTTTTTCTTCGTAGAAAGCCAATTAGAGCACACGGAGTACTTAAGAAGAGGTTCATAAGGAATTTATGGAGGCCTAACTTGTGAGATTTCAAATAGCGAAAAACTCTACAGGCGGGCTTAAAATGGAACTTTCTTCCAAATGAAACTTTGTTCCAATGTCCCTTCAGACAAAGCATAACAAGTTGTGAAGTCTACTCTAGTATATGATCTGGGCAAGAATCTCGATCACGTTGTCCCGACCCAAAATATTTCAGTCCCATTCTAATACTGTTTCGTTTTGTTTGGGATGAAAAAAATATAATCTTATACCTGTTCCAAACCGTTTTAAAATGAGACGGGATGATAACACATAATATTTTCCGGTTTTGTCTTGTTGTCCTGTATTTAAGTATATATCTAATTAATTATTTGTATAATGATATAAGCTTGTGGCCTGAACCGTCTAAAAAACAAGACAAGAAGCGAGATGATTATAAATCACAAACTGTCTCATGCCCACCACTAATATGCTCAACTCATCAAGTAAATTAAGTCATCTAATTTCAGTTTTTACTTGTTGACATGTTAGGCATTTGTTCTTGAACTCGGTGACAGCGCATTTCAGGTCCTGATACATCTTCGTACTTACGGGCACAAAGACTCCTGAATCCATCCCGAATTATGCACGAGCATTGTGTGCCAAAATATAGGTCTACATATAGTTGGCCCTATCATTGCCGCTAAGGTTGCTTGGGAGTTCTGAAATGGCTTTGTCTTGATCCTTGAGGGCGCTTGTCAACTTGAGTCCTTTAGTTCGCCTAATCAGTACCCCGGAGCCCGATAGAGATCAGATGACTCTAATAACCCTTGATACAGGTTGAACCAGAAATAGAAGAATACGGAGTACTACTTAGAAAGAATAAGTTTTATCTCCATAAGCACACGATCATTCATTGACTACGAAAATCATAAATAGTACCATGCAAACTACAATAAACACCCTCCAAATAAATAAAAAAAACATACTACAATAACCTACGTACTATTTAGTTTTAAGTTAAAAGATAAAATTGTTTGACTCTAGAAAGTGAAAAATGGATACTCTGAGAAGGAGGAAGTAATAAACTACGTACTAATTAGAATAACACTGTGTAATAAATTACATAATAGATTTTGATTCTAGTGAAAATGCGATCTTATGAAAAAAATAAGAATGAATCTGGGGTTTTGAATTGTGAGATCTAAGGGTCATAATTACATCAAAATTAAGTACACCAAAATGGTTTGAAAATGCATCATGTCGTAATGCACCAAAATCCTTTGAAAATGCACTATCTCAAAATCTGAGCGCAGGATGCAATCTGAGCTGCACGATGCATCAGATCCAAGTGCTAGTTTTTATTCTTATTTCTTTCACCAAGGTGTATTCTCATGTGAACCGGCCCCTTACATAACATTTTCAGTATCATAAAACGCAAAGTGGGCATGTGGCTATATGGAAAATTGAAGGAAAGTGAAAAGACTGGTGTAACAAGTCATAAAAATATGGTGGAAAATGTGTCCCAACAATAGTGGCTTTAAAAAATCTCTTAAACTTCATCTTTAATGGCAGACGGTTCGCCATCCGGCACAAGTTCAGAATCATCAACCGCCATTTGTTCTCCATCCCGCAAAGACAGAACGGTATCCTCTCCTGTGCATAGAGGCATCCTCTCTAAAAGTTCTTGGCAGTCAAGAGAAGTTACCATCACAGAGACATTAGTCCTCCCTCTCCAGCATCCAATTGCAACCGTTGATGCATCCACTTGAGGAGGATCTGAGGCGGTCCCACTTTCTGCACAAAAACGAAACACATCTATCTATATAAGACGCAGTCATGCAACAATTGTATTATCGGTAAATAAAGATTTTTGGTGGGTGCTGTGTCATGTGACCTTTGTTTAAAATAACCACACAGCAACCCAACGATAGATTTGAAGCCTTCTCTCCAAGATCGGCATCAACAAAGTTGCCAAATTTGACGCTTTTATGCTCCAATAGACGCTTGAAGTCGACGGGAGATGCATGTAAAATTTGTTTGGTTATATGGGGGAGTAGCAAAGGCAACCCTTCAGATGATATTCGGAATAAGCATGGTGCCGATGTACCGTCTTTTGATGTCTGTCGCTCCTGATGAATAAAAATTATATTTGAAAAAAGGTTCGTATTGTCACAATTTTTCAAGAGGGTTAAAATAGATGAGACAGGAGCATTTTTTTTATATAAAAATAAAAGAAAATGAATATTCTAGAGAGAGCAACTTACAAACATCTTCAGTCCAACAGATGCTATCTTGAGCTGCTGTCCAACTCGAAAATTGAGCCCAAGAACTTTCTTCACGGACTCTGATACGTAGTAGATTCTCTTTACATGGTTTGTATCGCTATTTCTTGTAATTAGGTGACCATCAAATGGAAAGGATTCTTTGATGCCATAGAAATCTTTAATCTTACTGACAATTTCTTCTTCCCTGTAAAAGATAACAGGGTCGACCCCTTTCCACCTGCCTTGAATTTGTAATTTCCTTTTTCCTCTAACCATCTCCAGATTTGCTCCTATATTCTTAGAAGACTCGATATCATCTGCTTCATTTTCTTTGGGTGTTATACCAGACTCTCCATCAAAATCATTATCAACCATCCCATTACCCACTGCATCAGAATCCACTATGAATTCAGGAAGAGAAGCTGAAATCTCTGTCAGCTTACCTTCCACTGGATCAGTATCTTCTCGGACCACGGTTTGAATAACACCATTAGTTGAATGCATCTTTCTGGGTAGATTAGCCTGCTTACTATCAGCTGCAAATATAAACCACCCATTTGGATGTAATGAGTTTAACACGCATAGAAACTTAAAAATACACATCGTGATCAAAATTATCACCTTAATCTCAGCTGTGTTGGGATCGATGGCATGAAATTAAATGTCATAAATGAATTGTATAACATTAGTTAAAACTCTAAATCCATGGATTCCATGCAACAAGGGTGCCAAAGGTTTACACTTAATGCATACTGAATAGCTGAGGAAGATTGGTGCAATGAAGCAAGGCATCCACCATCATTTTTATTACATATTTTCATGAAATATTGAAATATTTATAAATACTCTCTGTATCCCAAACAAGGTTCCATATTCCTATTTGCTCCTTATTTACTAACATATTTTTATTGATCATTTGATAAAATAAAAGTGTTGCTAAATCCACTGTAAATGGTTATATTTGGTGAAAGGTGTGGATGCCATTTAGGGGGTGGATTAGCATCACCCAAAATAAAATAGCTAAATCACCTTTAGTTTTGTAGAACTTTTGACGTAGATTTTAAATATATAAATTATACTCCCTCCTTTCCTATCTCACAGCAGATATGATGATACAAGATAGGGCGTAATGGCATCGTTTGATCCGTGTAGCCAACCCCACCTACTCGGATAAGGCTTTGTTGTTGTATACTCCCTCCTTTCCTATATATTTGTCCAGTAGTCCTTTTGGAGATATCCCAATGTATCTGTCCGCTTTTCAATTAAAGAAAAGAAATAAAGTGACTTTGACTTATTTTCCTTAAGATCCGTAATGAGGTTATTCAAGGAAAGGTGGGACTAGTACACTAGTACGCTAAGGATATGACCTTAGATAGGACATCTAGAGGTCTAGGATTAGGATAGTTATCTTCAGGCCTTTGTTTGCCATTCATGTTGGAGTCTTTTTATGCCTTAGTCGATAGTTTTTGCATGTGTGCTTTTGGTCTGAGTTATTACTGTCGTTATGTGTGTGTATTTTGTTTGTGCTCTTACTTTGTTTGTGCTACTGTGTTGGAGCCAGAGGTCTATTGGAAACGACCTCTACTTCCAAGAAGGGGTAAGGTCTGCATACGCCTACACTCCACACCCTACATTTTGTGGATATTTTCTGGGGTTTACTATTGTTGTTGTTGACTAATTTGCTCTCACCCAATACCTTTAACGCTCCCATCCCCAACACCAAAACGTAATAAGGGCATAATGATCCATTCATTATGTTTATTTTCATTTGTCCATGTACCAAAAAGAATGTGAACAAATACATTGGGACGAAGGAAATATTTTTTTAACTTTACACGAATCTTCAAATAAAATGATTTGAAAATAATTTCAATCAAACATCATAAACCCAAGAATGAAACTTATCATAGGACAGGGAAAATTCATGTTAAAAAAATTACTATGTAATATTTAAAAATCAAATCCAACAGCAACATCATAACACCACTAAAGTAGTAGCGGCAAGAACTAACTCAAAAATAGTAACAAAAAAGCAAGCATTGATAGATGAGTTTGTACAGTAGTTATGGAGCAGGGAGACATAAAAGAGCCATTAGTCAGCAGCCAACAGTCTTAATTAAAAGAACTAGACTCATTAATTGAATCATAACTCAATTGCCTAAAAGCCACTAGTGCAAAAGTGTGCAAACTGCAAAGCCTCACTACTACCGCTCGAATTGGTACATCCTCATTGCTAATTTTCCCAAAATATTACTTGGGCACGCGTCAAGACCTAGCCTCATTAAACAATCAGGAACATGGTTGTAGTCATGCCTCGTTAAAAGATTGATATTATAAGGCCAACATGTACATCATGGAAAAAGACCCTATTACAAGTGCACCTACATTATGCAAATAATCAAAACAACAAAACACCAAAGTTCTAAGTATTCAAACACCAATTATAACTGGTATGTACCTGGCAATGGAGAAAGCTTGTGAAATACAGCAATAAAGAATGCTCCAGTATTCTGGTCATGGGGCACTATCCTCATACAACGTTCTAAAGGTAATGTTGACACTTCCTCTTCCAAGAACTCAGAGGAAGCTGTTGTTCCTTCGGCAATCGAAGCCCCATTTGTGGATTCTCTATTGTCAACATTGTCAGTGGTGTGAATAATGGAAGAATCATTACAACTTTCAGTTCCATCCGCATAGCTTTTACCAGAAGGAAACATTCCAGGTACAATTGCAGCTCTACGAGCTTTAGGAACATCTTTGTATGAATACAACCATACTCCTTTATCACGAACCTGCAAGCATATATGAACAATTATCAAATGAAAATACATCATTCCAATGTTTATGTGCATTTTGATACATGTTACCTAGAACTTACGTCTTGCAAATTATAAGAAATGTGAACAAGAAGTAATATAATTTTGTGATGTTACTCCTAGGGGGGATGCATTGTTCGACTCATTTCAGAACTCAGAATACCTTAGACTACGAGATAAATTCCCACAAGGAAATGTGTGATTGCGGAGTTAAAATATTAACTTGTATGTTTGGTTCATACTTGATGGTATGCGAATGTATGAATTACCTTAATTCACCAAAACACCCTGAGGTAAAAATATTACCCAATCATTACCATATTTGTCTATGTGACCGTGATATCATATTATTTAGGACCCAAATTAAACCAGACTCATCGGATAAACTGACAAACAAGGTTATCATGTTACTACCTAGGAAATCGGAAAAAACTTAAGTCAAACACATCCTTCGATATTCCGGTGGGGTCCTTCAATAGTTTTTCATGTAAATTCTCTTTCATATCCCTTTCTTTACTTCAAGTCTCATGCCCTCCTCTCTCAGTACGTGTGCCACTTATCCTTTCCTTGTTTTCATTGTTTTGTTTTTCTCTCATTCAAAAAATAATAAAATATGTGGTCGTCACATTTGAGATCTACAACCTTTAGTTATCTAATGCAAGCTTGGGTGCAACAAAGCTCGTTACTAGTACTCTTCACTCATATTCAAACTGCTCAATACCTGAAATTCATTGTGCATTTCTACAGCATCACACTCCTATGAGGTCCATATATATAAAATTACAAGACAGGTTGTGGACTCATGGAACACGGTTTCTTCAATGTAGACTCAACAATATAATGCAAACAAAACAATTTACTACCCCAGTCTTGAAAATATCGTCTCACTTCGAACAAAGTGCAAAGTCCCATCTCTTTTTAAATTGTTTATTTACAAATTGGTATAGAAATAAAAAGGTAAAATTACAACTTTCAAAACTACATCAAAAGTTCTATAAAACAAGATGTGACATGAATATTTTATTTTATCAAATAATCGATGAAAACACAAATAAACAAAAGCTATTAGAAGGCCAAAATAGTAATTCAGAAGATATTTATGAGACGGAAGGAGTGTGTGTGTGTGTATGTGTGTGTAAGTAAGTAAGTAACCCAAACCTTCCATTTTTTAAGACCTGGTCTTCGGATAAGCTGAGGAAGATCACCCGAGACATCCACAAGTTCAACAGACTCTCCACACCTGCGGAGAACCTGGGAAAGAAGACATATTTGTAATATTGAATTGCCTTAATTACAACAATTTTCATAATGCTGAGATCTCAACAGTGAAAAATACTCACTCGAAAGCTACAAGTGGAAAAGATGAGGATGGTGAGGTGGACGTGTGGTCATAGGATGATTGATAAGATCCGGGATGAGTTAATTCAAGAAGGGTGAGAGTGGTCTCTGTGGTCTGTGGAGTATAAATCGTGGGAGGCTAGGTTGAGATGGTTAGGGAATGTACTGAGGAAAAGAATGGGTGGCCAAGCGAGGAGATCACATAGTTTTAAAAGGCAAGCACCTCTCTCACCTTGTTGTGCCTACATTTGCAGTTTCTGCATGTGTTGTTGTGCCTAAGTTTGTAATTTCAACATGTGTGCTTGTTTGTCTATGTAATTACTTTGCTCGTGCTACTTTCCTGTATCATTGTGCTCCTGTGTTTTGACTTTTGAGCTTGAGGTCTCTCGCTTTTCAGGAAAGGTAAGGTCTGCTTACACACATCCTCCCCAGACCACACTATGTGGGAACTTTCCTAGGTCTGTTGTGACTCATAATGGTGAGATCTGTTATTGCAGACCCCACCTAGTGTGGATAGGATTAGGTTGGTTTGACTGGGTGAAATTTATCATCAGTATTTATCATCACTGCTACAAGTCCTATAACATAAATTGGATGGTTTATCATCCAATTGAAGGGAAATGACCCAACACCAAATGTGTTCACAGAAAGAAATCAAAATCTTCTTCCATTAATATTTAATGCTTCACATCAATCACAGTAAATGAGTAGCAATTTAAGGGTTACCGACAAATAACTTTACATGGTAGCAAGAGTGAGGCTCTCTTCTAGAACCATGAGCTAAAGCACCAAGACACGTAATACGTATCATCATATGATATACAAATTAATGTATTATTTTGGCATTTTGGAATATTCATGAAATACCTCTGCAACCACAGCCTCATTCTCAATGGGATTCATTGAGCAGGTTGAATAAATCATACGTCCCCCAACTTTAAGTAGAGACATGCCTGTAATGTTTGCAAAAATTCATGATTTAGAGGTATTTCACAGATGGTATTACCCCATAGCTTGATGAATATATTGTAGTAAAAATACAATCTTGGAACAATCATCAAGTGTAGGGAATGTCTAAAAAGAAAGGAATCAAAAACTTCACAATTCGCACAAAATAGAAAGATTAAGAGTAATATTTACAGTTACACAACAACCAGTTTGGCAAATATTTCAACACTCCCCTCCCTCAACCTTGTGCATGTATATTACGAGTATCAAGCTTGTTACATACTTCATCCATTCTTATATACGGAGGAATTGCATTTTACACTATTTGCACTTATTTGATCCTCTTTTGTCATTTACTAAGAAAAATAGTCATCTGGGATCTTGTTAGATCTGTCTTGATATAAACTTTCATAGTATCACTTTTTTATGACTTATACTAAAACATGAGTGTGGATATTGGCAAATGTGAAAATCTTACAACAACCAACACACTAAAATCCCACAAATGGGACATGGGAGGGGTTGGCGCACACAGACCTTACACCTACCTAGGAAAAGGTTTGTACACTTCAACAGATAAAAGGATATTAAAGGAGAAATGGTAATCAACAACAGATAAAGGCAAACGAAAACATTTAACTATATCAAACTAATCCTGAAAGCCCTACATATAAAAAGAAACACCCATATATAGGACTACCCTACAACTCTACAACATGAAAATTCTAATGTTGTGATTACTTAAGAACAGAGAATGTGTGTAGCCGAGGACTTCTCAAAGACTTGGGGAAGATATTAGGGACTTTGAAATTGACAAATGGCATGTTGATTTCTTTAGACATAACTTTATCCCGTAAAAAAGGAGAACCAACATCAATATGTTTAGTTCTTTCATGGATTGGAGGCAATATGCAGAGTTGCTTCATTATCACAAATTAATTTCATGGGGTATACTTTGCAGTATCTTAATCCCTGGGGTAAACACTTTAGCTAATTAATTTCACATTAGGTGAGGGCCATGGTCATATACTCTGCTTCAACGCTAGATCTTGTAACAACACTTTGCTTCTTACCCATCTCTTATCACTAGGAGTAGGATACTGTCAATGAGACCTTTGTTCTCATATCATATTCCTTTTCCAGGAGACCCTTCAATATTTTTGAGAATCTGGATGACTGCAAAAGTTGTATCCGGTCTGATGAGATAGTTCAGCTTTCCCATAAGTCTTTGATAGGATCAGAAAATGGTTTGCAATTCAGAAACCAAATCTCTCTTAAGATGTCAAGTACATATTTTTGGTGGCACAAGGAAACACATTTTTGGATTGAGCCACCTAAAAACCAAGACAGTATCATAATCTTGCAGATCCTTCGTCTATCAGTGACAAGAAAAATGTGTCTGAGGCTACTAAAAATTCCTTCATAGTCTACCTCTTATAACCACATGGTCTAGTTATAAAAATTAACAAAATACTTTATATTTTTGAGAATCTGGATGACTGCAAAAGTTGTATCCGGTCTAATGAGATAGTTCAGCTTTCCCATAAGTCTTTGATAGGATCAGAACATGGCTCCCATTGGTTTGGTAAAAGTGAATGTTTGGATTCATAAATGTGTCTAATGGTTTGGAATTCAGCAATCCAATTTCTCTTAAGATATCAAGTACATATTTTTGGTGGCACAAGGAAAGACATTTTTTGGATTGACCAATTGAGCCACCTAAAATCCAAGACAGTATCATAATCTCTGTAGATCCTTCGTCTATCAGTGACAAGAAAAAGATGTCTGAGGCTACTAATAATTCCTTCATAGTCTACCTCTTATAACCACATAGTCTAGTTATAACAATTAAAAAATAATTCATAGTTTTGATAATCTGAGACTAACACTCTTGGGACTTTAACCAGATCAATTGAGGCTAACAAATCCTTCACAAGAAAACTTGAGAAATTGACATGCAAGTATGCAACACCAACTGCAAAAGTGGTATCCAGTCTAGTTATAATGAGATAAATCATCTTGCCTACAAGTATTTGATAGGATCAGAACATGGATCCCATTGGTTTTGTAAAAGTTTAACATTTGGACTCATAGAAGCATCTAATGGTTTGCAATTCAGCAACCCAATTTCTTCCAATATGTCTGGTCAAGAACATATTTTTGGTGGCACAAGAAAAAAACTGTTTTGGATTCAGCCACCTGGCCCACCTCAATACCATAACAGTACCACAGTATCTCTAGATCCTTTGTCCATGACTTGTACTGGGCCCAAATTGGTGTGTGGAAGAAGTGAAACGGATGAAAAAAATTCCTTTCGTATTTCTAGCTTTCTACTTCGTTATCAGTTCATACTTGTATTAGGGTTGCATCCATATTTAATATCTTGTTCTTCTTGATTGTAAACATTATAATTCAGAATCATATTCTGGGTTCCCAATATACTTTGACAAAGTTCGAGCTTTTGCGTCTACACTACATCAACTTTGATGAAGATGTGATACTCAGATGTTATGTATATAGAGGACGATGAAGTTTGTAAGTAGTAAGGCCATGTTTTCTTCACCTGATCTAAATGGTCCTAATTTGATTGGAATAAGTTCTGATCTGACTGCTAATCTGAATGTAAATTATATTTAAAATTGTTTCTGATCTAAACTGATTCCAATAAGAAAAAGTAATAAGTAATAAGAATAAGTTGAAGAGAACATGGTTTTAAAAGGCGAAAAAGGCGGTCCGCCTCGAGGCGCTGAGGCGGTAAGGCGGTAACATTTAGCCTCAGAGGCTTACGCGTACGCCCTAAGAAGTTGAGGCGGTCCAAAGCGTAAGGCGAAATCGAGGCGTAATACAGATCCAAAAACCCTAACCTATATCAGAAGTCGATCCGACTGCTATATGGAAGGTCTGCTTCCCCCTCCTGAAGATGGGCCGACACAGCGATGGGCCGACACAGCAAGATGGAAGTGTGTCCGCCGTCAATTGTCGCGCAGTCCCGTAAGATGCGGCCAGTCAATTACGGAGTTGTTTTATCATTCTTTACACTTCCGGATTTGTGCCCGACCCATATTTGGTTTGTTCTTTGTTTAGGGCTAGGGAATTAGGGGATAGGCCCATTTGGTTTTGTTTTTTCATTTCTCTTTAGCTTTAATTACACTTCGAGATTTTGTTTTCTTTTAATTATTCTTTGTGCAACTAAAAAAATGTTTGGTCAACAATTTGTTTTGGATTTTGTTTGAAAATAAAATTTGTTCCATATTTTGTTTTCTTTTACCTGTTTAATTTTTCCTTAAAAATATCTGTTTAATTTTATTCTATCATCATTTCAAAAAAAAAACTAATTTATTCTATCATTTCTTTTTTATTTTATCATTTCTAATTTGCAAATTACAGTATTTTTTAAAAAGTTTTTTTAACACCAGTCTTTCAAGCCTGAATTTTTTGGGCAGTTTATAAATTAATATTTTAATCAATTTATAATATATTAAATTATTAATAGAGTTGTTCATCATATTTCATATATGATTATCACTTTTTTGACTTGACAATGGATTATGCATTTTGTTTTATCTCAGAGTACTTATTTAAGTGTTATTTTTTCAAATCGAACTGAGGCTTACGCCTTGTTCCGCCTCGAGGCTTACGCCCCAAGGCATTTTGCTTCCCCGCCTTGAGGCTAGTTTTCGCCTTTTAAAACCTTGGAAGAGAACATGGCCTAAAGGCCATGAGACTCCTCCCCAAACTCTATCTTGTAATGTAGAGGTGAAAAGAGTGGATGTCCAGGTTATATTCTCATTAAGAGGTTTAGTTTGCCAACTAATAGAAACCAAAGTAAAAGGACATCAAGAAACAAACCAGGAATAAACAAAAGAGATTTTAACGGTAGACAAGAAAGAAGGGATGTGTTACCACTTACCAAAAGCATCAACTTGAACTTTTGAGTCATCGGCAAGAGTCATATGGTGTGGTTTTTTGGCACGTGAAAGTGTAGGGAAAAGAGAAAAGTTACAAGGAATGTGAGATGACACACCTAAATCTAAATGCAAGGAACCACGGAAGATGATGGGGAGAGAAACTCTAGAATGACCAATTTGAACTATTGTTGCAGAAGACATGGGGAACTGTTGGACAACCGTGTATAAGAGATCTGCTTTATAAGCGTCAGGTCAAATCATGCCAAAATACGAGTAAGTTCAATATAAGCTGTCTGCCTTTGGAAAAGAAAATACAAACCGCATGCACCAAATTATCCCCACACAATCTCTTCTTCGGCAATAAAGAAAAAATACCAGACTTGCAGAAAAACTTGGAGAGAGAGCAACTGCCCCCTGGAAAATAACATTAACAAGATTCTGATCCGGACACAAAACTCTAATGATGGTCGGAAAACACTATGATGGTGCCTGGACATCACATGCATAGTGACACTGGCAATGTGGTCACAAGACTGAGAATTGAACCACTCGACATTGACAAACAGTAAAAATGATATGCAACTTGTTTGTAACGTTTTTTTGGGACTGCACCAGTAGCTCTGATGTCATCTTGGTTTTAGAGGTATATGGCTAATGGTATTGCCTTTTCAACTTGACATATACAATATAGTAGAAAAACAATCCCTTGAGGCATTTCCCTTAATGGTAGGTAATGTCTAACAAGAAAGGAATCAAAGAATTTACACATTTACATATAAAAGTTTATAGGTGGCAATTCTATATGCTAACGCTTATTGGCTTACTGTTAATAAGCAGTTTTTAACTTATAAGCTGTTTATTGAAGTATTTTTGTAAAGTGACTTAAAGGAGAGATTCATTTGGAATATTCATAAAAAGTTAGGGATAGTTTGGTAAGTGATTTAGTCAAAACGGAGAAACGAAAAAACTGGCTTAAATATAAGTAGGTAAGACCTCCTTTTTAACTTATAAGCAACTTAAAGTTAGCTTATACGCATAGAGAAACATGTCATCAACTAACTTATAAGTCAAAAATAGCTTACAGCCCAACTTATGAGCACATAAAAACACCAACATAGTCTAGAGTCTGGATGCATAGTAATTGTAACTAAAATTTGCATGATGGAGTCCATGGTTAAAAGTTCAAGGGAACAGGCCCTAAAACTAACATTCACAAAGAAACTAATTATATGACGGCACAAAAATTATATACCCTATCAAGAACAGAATTAAGGAATATACAGTGTACTAATCACAATAATCGTGATGAATGAATTGTATGGGATATCAACACTGATCGGTCATGATAAGTGATAAGTGATAAGGATGCAAATATAGTAGAAGACATGCAAGTCTTTCCACAACAAGCTATTGGTTTTGACAGATATTGAATTTGGGAACCAGAGAAAGAGTTGCTCATTGTACACATTGAAGTTTCCAATAAGGTAACTGATAAAGGCTGTTCTAAACAGCAGCACATCATATGCAAAGTAGCAGCAGTGAGAACTGAAGAGGCTTGAAAATTGTATGAGAAGAAAAGTTAAACAATAGAAAAAGATAAGAAATGGGGTGAAATGGAAAGACCAGTATGTCAACTTGTGTCTCGGAGTTATGATACATAGGTTGCTACTTGCTAAGCAGGTTGTAGTGCCGATTAATAGTAAGCTCCGGGGTGTTAAACAGTTAATGTGCTGGCTTGTTTGTCTTTCTCTCTAGTCTTTACATACATTCATCTAAGCATACTTTTAGACATTGCAAGCCAAATCTCATATAAAATTAGCTTCATATACAAGTCTAAAATCAAATGGTAAAAAAAACAAATCAAACGAACATGTAAGCTAATATCCCATAAGATGGACAAGAGAAGAAACCTCGCATTGCTAGCTGAACTTGTAGGCCATGTAGACCATTTCCATTTCCTGCGTTCCTGTAAAGCAATTAGGCATTGCCTTTTAAAAAATGAAACTTGTACAAGAGACAACAAGACTGAGTAGTTAGCTACCATTTTCTCCAAATATCAGGTGCCTTACGAAGTGTACCATCACCACTGCATGGAACATCACATAACACACGATCATATAGTTGTGTGATATCAAGATCCTCTCCTTTTGGAATCTCAGAACTCTCTGCACGGTGTCTATTCAAATTGCAGCTTGGGAAGTGCTGAGCTTCATGATTTGTGACTATCAAGTTGGCAGTGCACATCCTCTTTGTTTGATGGATGAGAAGGTTACATCTTTGCACATCAACATCATTTGCTATCACCTATTAAACAATAATAGAAGGATGCTCAGAAGTCCGAGCAAAAGATAAGATATTTAAGGAAGGAGTGGCAGAAATGAAGAATAGCCATTATTTTGGTTTATGGGGATATGGAAAGTTGAAAGAGTAAAAGGAAAGAGGAGGACCATTCCACTAGGTAACGACCCAAGATCCACAGAGTGGTATATCATCTCTAGTAACTGAAATGTTTTTGAACCAGGAGCTGCACACACTGAAATTAAAGGAATAGTCAACATCCATTGATATATGTTACCCAGTTTTAATATGCAACCATCCATGAAAAAAAATGAACACATCACACATACTTGTCTAACTCAAACACAAACTTACTGTCAAGAACAAAATGATCTGGGCGTACATCTAAGAAAAGTGGAGGAACCTGAATGAGCAATGAAAAAGTAAAGTTCAGTAAATTCAACCAATGGTTATGTAAGATAATCTATACACCTATTTTGAAGAATTAGTTCAGATAAATGGAATTCCTGTATCCAAACTAAAAGGCAATTCCATGATCTAATAAAGATACTCAAAGGTTCACCTACCATGCTCACAGCCTCTTGTCTTGTAATGTTGCCAATTTCATTCTGCAGTTTCAAGAACTCATGAAATCTGAAAAGGTTTCTCAAAATCATGATTTAAGCCACTCTTGAACGCATGGATTATATTATTATATACCCAAAAAATGCATCAAGTACCTCTCAAGTGTTTGGGTTTTTCGCAACTGATTCCGAGAAAAATTGGACTGCCAAGAAAGGTTCTCGGGATACCAAGGCAATGGTCTTATTGCATCCACTTCACTCCCATCTGTAATCTGGAACATAAAAAACAAAATTTTACTACTATTTACTCTATACTAAATAAGTGAACATCTAACAACAAGTATTGCATTGTGCATTCACAGTTATTAGAAACCTATCAACCTCTGCCTGTAGGGACTTCACAAAATCATTCTCTAACTTCGATCGAATATCCATGTAGTTCTGGCAACTGCAATATGGTATGGACAAAAAAAGACTAAATAGCAAAGAGATTGAATATGGTAGACATTCAAAATTTTCCTTGACTATTCATGAACTTTATGATGTGGTTGATAGAGTAACTATGCAGGAACCTCAAGTGTCAAAACAGGGTTTTGAAACTGATATAGAGTGCAAGTTGAGAAGTTATGATATACTCCATCCATCCCAAAAAGTATATCCCACTTTGACTTCATGGAGTTTAAGAAGAGTGTTGAAAAGCTAAAAGTGTAGTTAAAATTTGTTTAGATTATATAAATGTTGTGAGGCACATGTTCCTTTCTTTCTTTTAAAGAAAATGAGGAATGTGTGAAATTGATATTGGGACAGGCGGAAAATGAAAGAGAGATTGTTTTTTCGAGTGAGGGAGTATATGCATAACCAGTAGAAATTGATTTTGTCACAGCAGTCCTCATAATATGACTGCAATCAATAATTTACTTAGCACAAGAATTAGTTCTTATTTTGTGGAGGCAAGATTAGGTATATATAAACACTAATTATTGGGTATATAATGTAAATTGGAGATATAAGCAATGAATCCATTCTAGTACATTTGCTATTTTCTCAAAGGGCAGCATACTTCGAGAAATAACACATTAACACTTCACTAATATGTAAATCCTCCTTCAAAAAATCAAACCACCACCTCCATATGCCACTAAGCATACCAAGTTCGGACAAAAGCAAAGCAGGGAAAACCTGGAATTGATCCGAAAGGCAGCTGGCAAAGGTTTTCGGAGATATTCATTGAATGTGTCCCACTCTTCCCGTGACACTATTCCTTGTTCCTGCCATTCGAATCAACAACACATTCAAACTTCACCATAAACACAGAACAAAAACTGGGAAAATGCGAATTATTACAAGAAAAATAGCTATATACCTTGTAATAATCGTCGAAAGCGGGGTTCTGAGTGGCGAACGGCTCCCAGGAAGAGTTGCTGCTTCCGTTGTTTTTCTCTCGGGCGTCTGCCGTGGCGGAGCTGTCCGACGGTTGTGAGGAATCGAATTTACTTCTTTTCCACACGTTCTCTCTGCTCTGTGCGAAGTGTTTCCTCTGAGTGCGAGACCTGGCTCTGCCGCCCATTTTCGTCCGCCGTTATCCGCCGTACAACCACCTCTCAAGCGACGCAGAATTGGCAGAGATGGCGATGAGAAGGTTGCGCAAGGATTTTGAGGTTTAAGCCCGTGGATTTGTTGGGCTGATCCAAGGAGCCAATGACAGAATCACATAGTAAAATGTGTCCAAAAATTTAATGTAATTTTGAAACTGGTGTGTGAAAAAGTTTGCTCTCTTTAATTAAATTGATTAGATCTAGTTTATTCTAACTTGATTTAATCTTAGTTGAACTACTTTGATTGGAGTAATTAAAGTTGTTTTTATCTAATATGATCGCATATAATTTAATTTAATCTAAGAGTGAAACAGTGAAATAAAACAAACTCTAATGTTGGTCCTTCAGTAAAAAAGGTCGGATCGCTTCTATATATTTAGTATCGTATTATGTACTCCCTTCGTCCCGGAGTATTCGTCCAGTTTTGATTTTTGAAACTGTTCATCTAAGCACTTTGACTCATCATATTCTCTCAATGTGTAAGCCTAAATATAGTCATGTGTGATCTTGTTTGATTTGTCTTAACATATAGATTATTAATATATAATTTCTATAATTTTTTAATATACAAATTACAATATAAAATGGATTAAAGAAGTGTATTGGATAGTGTATAAAAATGAAAGTGGACAAATACTCTGGGACAGAGGTATTATCAAGTAGACTCAAGTCAGCTTGTTTCTCAAACGAACTTTTTTTAAGAATTTACATAGTGTATTTAATAAAATTATAAGTATTATAAATAGATGATATGGAGTAATATACTCTATATTGCATTCTTAGTCATGTTATCAAAGTCCTTTCGGGAACATCCAATAAAATTGAAACGATATAGTGAGATTCTTGTGACATCAAATTTGCGACAAATACTTTTTGTAACATGGTATTTGTTGCAAATTTTGTCTACAAACACCTTGTTACAAAAAGTATTTGTGAGAAAATTTGATGCCACAAAAAATTCATTTTTTTGTAGTAGCAGACTAGCAGGCCCCATGTGCAAGGATGACATACGTAAATCAAGAAGCAATCTCTATACTCTACTCTCATTGGATCCAACTAAGTTATTGTTGTTATTGAGTCATTCTATCAAATTGAATTAATAATTAGATTTTATATGGTAAACTTATTATTGTATTAATACATACATACATACATACATACATACATGCATGCATGCATGCAAACATACATACATACATACATACATACATGCATGCATGCATACATACATGCATGCATGCATGCATGCATATATACATATCTATACACACACACGCACACATACATACTGATAGGTCTAGGGTATCCATCACATACATACGTATACATGGAATAACTAAGAGTGCAACACAAAACACCAAATAAAAGCAATGCAAAGAAGTCGATTAGATGAGCTGTTGGAAAGATAGTTATGAAAGTAAACAGAGTAGACAGTGCACAAGAAATGTGTACGTATTCCGAAGTAACTCTCATACGTCTACAGGACCCACATCTATATAACAGCTGTTCCACTAAATCTTCATAAAGATTGAACCTTCAATCACAATAGATTCTATCTAAATAATTAACTTAATGTACTTATGAATGACTTGGCAACAAACTCTATTCGTGTCCATCTCAGTGGTTTGTTACACCTTTACCAATGTATCTTCGAGACATATTTGCAACCCTAGTTCCAAAATCAAGTTCACATAATCTGGACCATATCTTGTACATAAACTGACGTATAAAATAGACTCCATAGTTGTGACTCAGCAAATTCTTCGTACCTAAGTCTCAACGAAACATTAGAATTTCATTTCGTAATGAGTCTCAACTAACCCACATACATATTTTGAGTCACTTTGTTCCTCTCTCTTCAGAAGACATTGAATGTACAGAAATGGCTTCGTATTAATTAAACTCGTTGAGGAATCGGTGATAACAATTTTATGACTATCTTTATAGATTTAAAATGTTTTAGTTTATGCTCCCGATTATTATGTGAATATACCAAGAAAGTTCTAGTAAGGATACTCCATATATGTTTTGTTTTGCTAAACTTACTGAAAGAAACATCATAGTAAATAATCTCTATATATTTTTTCATGCAACCCTATCAAGGCTCCATATAAGTTGTCAAAATGTGAATTCTGGCTCCGAGAGGTAACATTCCTCGGATATGTTATCTCGGCAGACGGCATCAGAGTAGATCCGACGAAGATATTCCCCATTATTAACAAGAAGACACCGCGCAACGTTCGTGAGGTGAGAAGTTTCCTTGGACTAGTTGGGTATTATCGGCGTTTCGTCGAAGGCTTTTCCTTGATTGATTCTCCACTTCTCCAACTATTGAAGAAAGATTGCAAATTCATGTGGACCGACCAGTGCCAGAGTAGTTTCGATCACCTGAAGAAGTGTCTTACCGAGGCACCCGTGCTGACACAACCCAAGCCCAGGGTTGACTACACTATCTACACCGACGCATCAATTGTAGGACTTAGTTGCGTAATTATGCAACAAGGCTAGGTCATTGCTTATGCTTCCTGACAACTTAAGCCACACGAGGGAAATTATCCTCCGCTCAATTTGGAGCACGCAGCTGTCATCTTTGCATTGCAGATTTGGAGACACTATTGTTTTAGAAGGAGTTGAATTTACGGCAACAACGTTGGCTAGAATTGATCAAGGATTACGACTACGAGATCGAGTATTACCCGGGTAAGGCTAATGTTGTGGCTGACGCACTCAGTCGCAAATCATTAGCAGAACTCCATGTGTGCCCGACATTAGAGGACCAGATTATAATCGCACAGCACGACGATGAATTTTGCCCAAAGACTCGCGAGCTTGTCTCTAAGGGGGAGAGACAAGACTTCTTTGTTCATGATGATGGTGTACTACTATACCGTGATCGTCTAGGGGTTCTGAGTGGTGACGTGAGGGATCGCTTTCTTCGCGAGGCTCACGAAACCACATTTACGATGCATCCTCGTGGCAACAAGATGTACCACGACTTGAAGAAGACTTACTGGTGACCCAGTATGGAGAGAGATTACAGAGTTTACATCACGACGTTTGACTTATTAGCAAGTCAAAGCCGAGAACTAGTTACCATTTGGACTTCTACAGCCAAATTCCATTCTTGAATGGAAGTGGGACCGCGTCACGATAGACTTCGTCACAGGTTTACCGTTATCACCTCGAAAGAATGACTCGATTTGGGTCATTGTAGATCATTTGACAAAATTTGCACACTTCATTCCTGTGAGATGTGAGACGTCTCGACGTCAGTTGGCCAATCTGTATATCCGCAAAGTCGTGAGACTTCACGGCGTTCCTACTTCTATCATTTCTGAACGCAATCCGAAGTTCACAGCGAAGTTCTCGACATAGCCACACATTGTGGTGAACTAGTGTATATCCTGTGTGCCTTCTTACGCTTTTACTCTTCATGCTTTTAATTTTTTATATTCCTTCTATTTTCGTTTCAAATGCTATTCACCCCCCTCTAGCGTCAGGACTCTTTTCTAACATTCCAGAGGAAGAGGAAGAGAGCGACATGTCAAGTGAGCCAGTGGAGGGAACCAAATTGGGTGAGATCATGGAGGATCCACTTAGGGATGAGCTCGATCTTTCACTTCAAGAGTTTCCCCCAAAACTTTTCATGAAGATCAAGGGAGGCTTGAGCGTAGATTCATCACATGCCTTGGAGATTCCGGAGTTGCTTTTAGCTCCAACCTTCGATTTGCACTTTCATACTCTCTCTTTTTTGCACAAGCCTAGTAATCCAAACATTGATATGAATCCTCATGGGCTAGGCTTTCTGTTTGAGCCAAGAGAACACCTTATCCCTCATAGCTCAATTGTTCGGGGGAGGATTTGTGCTTCAACATTTGATCAATCCTTCACTCTCTCGAAGATTACCCCCTTGTTTACTACTTTTTCAAAATTAAAAAAGGTGTTTCTAGAGAAACATTTTAAGTTCATGCTTCTTTGCAACTTCAAACGCTTCAAAGGTGTATTCCCTGGGAAGCACTTAAAAGAGTTTCTCTTGAAAAATAAATCATTTAATGGAGTTACTCCATATCAACCCAAACATCGTCAAATATTTTAAAATATTTTTAAAATACATTAAATTACTCCATATCAACCTAAACATTGGAGTCTCTTTAGTTACTTAAACACATTAAATTACTCCATATCAACTCAAACATCATAAAATATTTTAAAATATTTTTAATGGATATTGATGACATATTTGAAGAGTTTTACACTTCTCTTGATTTTTTTTGATATGATCCTGATTTTATGATGTTAGAATCCTCCAAAAATAATCTAAATTATCATGATAATGTTGAGGTAATCTTTATTGGTTGTTTCTACAAGTTTTTACCTATAAATAGCCCCATAAGTTTATTCATTTTCTTCACAAACTTCCTTAAAAATTGTAGCAACTTTTCTCTTCTTTATACTCTATATATGCATAAAAATATTAAGTTATTTTACTCCCAATACACTACCAAACCTTTCCCAAAAGACTAGAAGAAGTTAGAGCCAACAAGAGTTCGTTTAGAGCCCATTTAAGGTAAGAAAACTCTCCCGAAAATTCTGCATTTTTTTAAAGTGTTCTTCAAGTTATTGAGATGCTTTTTTCTTTTTTTTTGTTCTTCGGTAAAGCTCGATAGCACCTCTAGAATCTCGGTTCCTTATTAGTCTTCAACAACTCCGTTTCACTTTATCTCTCGAACTCGAGGTATGTACAAAATCGTATTGCACGGACTTCCCATTCAACTATTATAGTTGTAAAAATCTTTTAAAACAAAACACTCTTTGTACGAAATAAAGTTATTTTTTAAAAAAATATACAAAGTAGTATTTTATTCTCAAATTAATATTTTTAACACTTTTAAAAGTGATTTATTATAAAATATTGATTTATAAAAATGATTTGATGTATAGGGAATAATATTCAAACTTTTATATTATCATAAGTTTGAACAACTTGAGATCATCGTAAATTTGTATTTCGGAGCAACGGTAAGAGACCCCTATCACCGCTGATTGT